TCTTCTTTAACGTCTATTATATGATGATTTAGTTTACAAATAGGCCTAAATTTTCTCTTTGGAGATTCTGTCTTGTCGTCAAATGCGTATAAGAAGAAGGTGTATCATATTGATCTCTGTTATTTGCCATATGCCACAACTAATCCTCAATGGCCCAGTCGGTTAAGGTGTCTGTGTAGGTTTTTATAAACTAATTTTGTTAAGTCCTAAAATAATTGTAATTCTTTTATAAAATACTTTCCGAAAACCTTATTGAAAGGCATAATATTGAAGAATGCTTGTCACTTCGGCCCAAAACCAAATCGGCACAAACCGATTCGGCCCCAACCAACTCGGACCAAAACCAACTGGGCCCCAGATGACACTTTGGTCCAAAACCAAATTTACATATATTTTGGTAGTTAACACGGTCACTTTATATTATATATTCTGTTATTTAGTGAACACACGACAGTATGTCAGCGGCACTCACTGAACTGGTGAGTTACATTACTTATAAGCCTACTGAATATTTCTCTGCTACCTTCCACTGTACTGTAGGGCCTACTTTACTAACGTGGTTTACTTTTGTAATGTAACACCTCCTCGTTCAATATTTTGTAGATTCGTGTTAGTGTAAAATTGTTTTTACGATAATTTTAATTGACATAAATAGGAACTCAAAAAATGCTTTAATGATAAGACGCCTAAATGTTGGTGCTACGATACGTTTCTTCCAGATTTGTGCGGGCGTCTAAGTGATAAGTTTCAACGAACATGTTGTCCTTACTCGGATAGTATATGACGGTATATGATTATTGAATGCTGCCACCAATGGTATGGACTCCTAAGCAATGAATACAACTCACTGACTTGAACAAAGTCTGATGTCAGAGTGTTCCATAAAGCTTATAGCTAATGATGGCAAAGCGTGAAACGAGTGGGAATAAGAGTTTTAGTTTATCTGCATCACTCTACCTAAGAGTACAGTCTTTTGTGGAGGTTACCAACTTCTGTAATCGTCACTTAAGTGTGTGTACCAAGAAGGGCTATATAAATAATATACAAATGTATAAACAATGATGACAGGGGAGATTAATTTTTAAAAAAGATGTAAAGCTTATAAGCTATCAGTTCTGTTGTATACAACAAAAATCGATGCTCAGATAGATGGTACTCTCGTCTACACAAAAATTTAGAAATGCTGGGAAACAAATTACTAGTACTTCGGACACAGTTAACTTACAATTTTACAATTAAAAGTTTATAAGAAAAAATCCCTGCCTATTAACAGACAGTGAGCGTTTCTGTATTCTTTTGCATGATTCATTGGTTGGTAACATTAAAGTATTTTTGTAGAACCGTCTGTAAATCAATGATGAAAGCTATTTTTACTTCCATCTGATTTTGATCGTTTTAAATATAAAGCTATTCAATATTTAAATGAGTAGACACAGCCTAAACAGTACCTCATATCATGTGTATAGAATATCGTAAAATTAGTGTTTATAATATACCTGCTTACTATATAAGTCTCTATGCCTTTATTCATATTTAATATGAAAGAAATGTTTGTAAGATGTCAACATTAAAACAATACACAGAATTGTACCTGTGTGTTCAGCATTTCTAAACGTTTATCCAGAATCAGTAGTATAGCAGTTAATTATTGCTATACTTTACACTACTCAAATAATCGACCAGAAATTCAACGCTGCTAGCTTTTTATGCTTTCAAAGACCATGTTTTACGTAAACACTGCCTAGGCATAGGGATATTGTAGTTACAGTAATAGTCAATTACGGTAGTTCATTCTCTATCGACTGTATACACTTTCCTCTCGACCGACTACCAAGAGATTTTGTACTACCCTTGCCATGGAGGAATTAGTTTAGTTTCTAAACGAACTCCTCCATGCCCTAACAACGCCGTAACTTTTCATATTCCACATGCAGCAACACACCACTTTCGCGACTGGCGAGAAGAAGTGTTAAGCATGCATGCATTATTCATTATCAGTTCACCTAAATAACCTTAAATAGTGCCCTCTATAATTTCTGCCGGAACTGTATGGGGAAAACATAATTCCCCCGGGCGCCAAAACCTCTAGCTACGCCCCTGAATTCTTCAAAAATACCACCTTTCTTTTGATCAGGTAAATGCAGTGTTCTTTAGCCGAGGGATACTGCCTTCAAGCCATCTGCTAGCGACTGCAACCCCGGAGCTTATCTTTTAGTCTTAGTCCGATTAAGTTGAAGAAATCTGAAAGTTTATTAATAGGGAAACTTGTCATCTAGCTGCAAGAGTCTTAGTACTTTCCAGATAAAATTATTGAAATTATCTGTACACTGATCTGAAGAAAAACTTTACAACGTGCCAGATTTATTTTTTCTTGGATTGCTTGTATACCCACATTCCAGACTA